AAGTTAACATCCTACTTCCAAGCTCACCCGGTAGAAGTCTTGACTGACCAACCGCTGGGTGCAGTGTTGCGAAATTCAACATCCTCCGGGAGGATGGTGAAGTGGGCGATGATGTTAACTCAATTCAACATTGAGTACCGGCCGAGATCAGCAATCAAAGGGCAAGCCCTTGCGGACTTCCTCGTGGAAATGACCGGTGTAACTCCAGATGCACCGGTCGACAAGCCTACCGAGCAGTGGTGGGAGATGGCAGTAGACGGGGCGTCCGGTCCTAAAGGTTACGGGGGTGGTATAGTTTTTACTACCCCGGAAGGATTCAAAATTTACCATGCAATCATCTTCAACTTCAAGCTGACAAACAACGAGGCAGAATACGAAGCTCTGGCTGGAGGGCTCAGACTTGCCCAAGCCCTGAAGATCGACCGGGTCCGAATCAAATCTGATTCCAGTTTAATCGTTGGACAAGTGACCTGTAACATGGAAGCCAGAGAAGGGCGAATGGCCCAATACAAGGACCTGGTGATTGCCTTGTTGAAAGGCTTTGAAGAATTCAAGATCGCCCAAATCCCCTGGGCGGAAAATGCAGATGCAGACCTTCTCTCCAAATTGACGCAGTATGTTCCCGAGCATGTTTCAAAACTTGCCCGGGTAGAAATTCTTGATCATGCCAGCATTGAAAAATTGGAAGTAGCCGCCATAGCAGAAGCAGGCCAACCTGACCGGTCAAACTTGGTCGGGGTGGATGACCACTGGATGTATGATCTGATGGAATATCTGATGGACGGGACCTTGCCGGAACAAGATGACCGGGCAAGAAAAGTGAAGCTCAGGGCACCCCGGTTCCAAGTCCTTGACGGAAAGCTGTACAAGAGGGCGTTCGGGGGACCCCTCCTAAGGTGCCTAACCAACCGAGAGGCTGAACGGGTCATAGCAGAAGTCCATGAAGGTGTATGCGCGGCGCATCAAATGTCCCGCACTCTTTCCCAGCGCATCATCTTGTTGGGGTATTACTGGCCAACAATTGTCCAGGATTGCGAGAGGTACGTCCAGAAGTGCAGAACGTGCCAAGTGTTCTACAAGTACCCTGGTAGGCCGGCAACCTACTATCACCCCGTATCAAATGTCATCCCTTTCGCTAGATTCGGGGTGGATATCATTAGAGCGTTCCCAATTGCCCAAGGAAGGAAGAAGTTTGTAATCGTGGCCATCAATTACTTCACCAAGTGGATTACAGCTGAAGCACTATCCAATATCACCACGCAACAATGCAAGAAATTCATTTGGAAGAACATCATCACAAGGTTTGGGGCTCCCATGAACCTAATCACCGACAACGGCCCACAATTCCGAAATCCAAGATTCACCGAATACTTGGAGGGCTTTGGAATTAAGCACAACCGTTCTTCGGTGGCCTACCCCCAAGGAAATGGCCAGGTGGAGAATGCCAACCGAACAATTGTGGATGGTCTAAAGAAGCGGCTGGGAGAAGCGGGAAACAAGTGGCTGGAAGAGCTCCCCCACATCATATGGGCGTTCCGAGTAACACCCAGGAGGGTTCATGGGGAAACTCCATTCTCCCTAACTTATGGGTGTGAAGCAAGGCTGCCCATTGAAGCTGAATTCCCAACGTTTCGGGAATCAAATTATCAGCCCTAGCAAAATGAAGAAGACCACTTGGTCGAAGAGCGGAGAATGGCCGCGGAAGTTAAAACGAGCACATATCAACAAGTCGTGAAGAAGTACCATGACAACAAGGTTGGACCGCGATACTTTCAAGTCGGCGATGAAGTCCTACGAAGAAGGGAGGCTAGTAGACCGGGAGACGAAGGAAAGCTGGCCAAAATCTGGGAAGGACCCTACCGGGTGAGAGTTATCATTCGCCCGGGAACCTACTGGTTAGAAACTCTTGATGGTGTACCGGTAGAAAGAACCTGGAATTCCCATCATCTTCGCAAGTTCTACAAATGATTGTAATACTAGGCAAGGCCTACTTTATTATCAATCAAACCGATGACATTCAATACTCTACATGGTAGCGGCAGAATTGATAGGTCGAACCTATCCTAGGAGGGCTTCCCGGGTGGATCGGATCCACTCAGATAAGCCGACTGAGACACAGGCCCGGACCTGGCACGCTGGTTACTACACCGGTCTTGCTCAGTATAATAGAAAAAATATAAAACCCGGAAGAGGGGCCCGGAAGAGGGTATGCCTGCAAGAGGGCTGGACCTGGAAGAAGGTTCGAACCGTACTTACACGGGCCCATGAGGTTTGACCGGTGTTGGGGAATCAGCCAACGCCGTCAAACTGATTGGGGACTAAAAGATGCCCATTAAAAGAAATAAAAGGGGATCGTCCACCGTGGCGCATCCTGTTTCCCCCTTCTCAGGGAAGACTTGAACGGGGGGGTGAGCTAAGGCCTTCCCGGGATGGTAGAAATCAAAGGGCCATTAAAAGACTTAATCACCTGGAAGAGGGGGCCCTGGAAGAAGGGTGCATTTGAACCTTGGAGAGGGTTCGAAACCATTCGAACATGGTTAAATCTCCAGTATTCTTACCGGTTAAGGATACTTCAAGAAATTACTAGGTTACAGGTGCTCCATCTACAACCTACCGGTCAAAAAAAAAAAAGAAATACCCCGGTTGGGTATTGATACAGCGGAACTTCGAAAGTTCCACAAGGCGAAGCAGTTCACCGGTCAGACCGTGAAGAAGGGACCTACCGGTCAAACTGCGCCTCACTTTCAAAACAAGAACGTAGGTGTTCAAAAACTCAGGTTGAAGTCCAGCCGGTCAAACATTTTTCAAAGCGACCATCAAGTTGGAGTTAACCGGTCAAAGTCACTCGAGCTGAACTTTCAAATAAAGTGATCAAGAAGAACTTCCAAGTTCTACCGGTCGAAAAAAATTGAGGAGTGGCCTGATATATCTACCGGTCAGAATATCTAAGAAGCAACAAAAAGTAACAATCATGAAGCAAGCAGATATGAAAGATTAACCGGTACGAAAAACAGACATGCATTCAGACAAAATAGGAATGTTAAGTGTTTACAGATACACCGGGCATTCCCGGGGAAATTAGAAAGTTTCACAAAAGAATTCAACCGGGCGCAGCCAGGAAGTTCATTCAAGGGGGAAGGGGGGAGTTGGTTCTTCTTCCGGGATAGGTGCCAGGCCATAAGAAGCAGCGCTAAACTCCGGGTCCCTTCTCAGTAAAACCCGGTGGGAGGCAATCTGATCCTTCTTTTGACCGCATTTGAATCCAAAGGAGCCAACGGCGGTGATCATCTTCCTTCCTTCAGGCTACCGGTAGAGATATCTGAAGGATTCCATGGTCGCCTCCGGCATCGCCGTAAGCACCCGGGAAACTTCGGCTTTGTTCTCTTCAACCCAGGCAGCGGCACGCCCGGGGAAGTTTTCTTCCTTCAACGCCATCTCCCTCTTGGTCTCAGAGACCTCATCGAGTAGCCGGCTGTTTTCCTCCTTGAGCTGAGAGATTTCAGCCTTCATCGTCCCGGCCATCCCAGATAGCCGGATCAGCTCATCAGCTTGGCTCTTCAAAATAAGGGCCATCTCTTCCTTCTCCTTCTCCAGCCGGGCAACCTCCGAAGGAGAACCCATCCCCAGCTGCTCGACTGCATGGGGCCCAATCTCCCCTTTCTGCACAAACAAAGAAGCCGGTTAAATTATGGCAAGCGAGGAAAGTCAAATCCAACCGGGATAGGAAGAAGCCTTACCTCCTTCAGCCTCAGACCCAGGTTCACGAAGGCCTCTTCAATAGTTTGGGAGGCCGGCTCAGAATCCGACCTTGCCCTCTTCTTGGCGTAAGAAGGGTGGGTTGTAGCCACCTTCTTCTGACGACGCCCGACCTTTTCTTTGCCCTTCTCCTTTGACCGGTCATTGTGGGGCTCGTCGTCGTCCAAATCGTGGACCTCCACGGTCTCGGGCTGGGCCGTGAAAGTCTTTGCAGTACCGGTCTGAGAACCACCGGTCTCTCCTTCTGGCTTATCTTCGGGCATGGCATATTCCTCGAACTCCATATCTGCAAAAGGCAACAAGAAAAAGCTAAGTATGAATGGCAATACCGGTTAAATGAGAGACGCAAGATGAACAAAAAGTACCTGGGTGGGAGTTGCCCTCAGCCTCCGCAGTGTTGCCCGGGGAGGGTACCTCGCGCCCCGCTGCGTCATGGGCCTGGGAGGTACCCTCACCACCCGATTCAACCCTCCAGACCCAGCTTCCATAATTATACTTCCTCCCGGTGGATGGATCACCACGAAGAAGGATTTCCACACTCACTTCCAAGTTAGGGGAGGTGGCCGGTGTGGCGTACTCATGGTTAAGGAGGTGGTCGTTCCATTTTAGACCAGCAAAAGGGGTGACAAAAGGAGGAAACTCAATGAAAACAAACTTTTCTTTCCATCCCTGGTTGCTTTGGGGGACGTCAGAGATAAATTTCCTACCGGTACGGCCTTTGAAGTACACAAAGCCTTCGCAGCCGGTTCTACCCGGTAGGACCTCAAAACAAAAAAGAAAGAGACGCAAGGAGGGCTCAATTTTGAGATGGGAGCAAATATTTACAAAAGAGTGGAGGTACCGGTGGGCGTTAGGAGTTATCTGACTAGGTAAAATCCTAAACGCATGGCATATTTCGGTTAAGAGGGGGCGAGGAGGAAAAACGATGCCCGCGTCTAGGGAAATCGTATGAAATCCTATCCTGTCCTCCCGGTGGGGTTCAACAATGTTGGGCCAGTCATGTTCATACAAGAGGGTATACCCATCCGGGAGCCTTCTACGGATCTTATTCAGGGCAATTTTGGATACATGGGAAGGAATGTCAAGAACATAAAAGGTGGGGAGTGGAAAGTAACCGGCAGCATGGAGCCGCTCCTCCCACGCATCCCGGGTTTCGTTTTCGGGGTCGTAGGGACTCGGTTCCTCATCGACCGGTTCATCCCTCCCCGTAAGAACATTACCGGGCATCTGATTAACTGGTTGAGGATTGGGGATAGAAGAATTTGGAACCTGACCGGTACGGGAACCAAGGGAAGGAAACCCGGTCAGAGATGAGGAGTTGGAATCCTCAGAGGAGCCGTCCTCTGAGGACGAAACCCTATCGCTACCTAAGGGAGACATAACCGGGAAAGAAAAGAGAGATGGAGGAAAGGCTTACTTTACTAGGAGGGCTGGAAGGCGAGGGAAGGAAGCTTGACCGGTGAAAGCTTTGGAGGCTTGGATTGCGAAATGTGAACAAGTGAGAGGGTTGAAGGCCTTTATATAGGAGGAGGGAGGCCAAAGCAGGCGACGTGGCACCTTGAGATTGCGCCACAATGGGCGGCGCAATGATGATGCTTTGGCAGACGAAACGACGGGTCTGCAACCGACTGTTGCAACGGTTGATACGCAACACGTGGCGAAAACCGAAGTTTGAATTTCAGAATTTGAAAATTTTGGCGGGAAAAGCTTGGGAATTCGAATTAGAGGTCCTGTTTCAGAATTTTTTACTTCCCGCTCATGACAAAATTGCATGACCGAGAAGTGGAGGGCTTATTGATGGGTGTATTCCACCCATGACCGGTCAATGGAGAAGACCAGTTAGTTGACCGGTCAATCTCGAAAGTTTTGGGAGGGAAACTTAAATCGTCAGCAAATTGATATGTAATCGGCCCAAAGATGACCGGTATACTTCACGAAAAGGTATACTGGTCAAACTACTTTGTCACCCTATTTTTCCTAACCTTGATAATCTCATCCCTCGGAGACTACCCGGTGTAGTTTCTAGGGTTGGAAAGTGTCGGCAGAAGAGAATCTGAGAGGGCTTGGCGTGTAGCGACCCATGCCAGCGAAGAACAACTGGAGATGCTGAAGGAATGTTTCCAAGCCAGAACGCGACAAGGGAAGTAATTCCCCTCGCAAGATGACAAGGCAGCTCAGGGGCAGTCACCTCGCACCGCATCAGCAGCGTGCACCCATGTGGGCGCACGTGGTCCTGTCCCCCCAAACCTAGTATAAATACTCATGTATGTTGGAACACGGGTTTACGCCTTCGTCGCACTAAACTGTGTTCGTTTATGACAGGTTTTGATAATGCCAAACCGCCGCGACATATCGAAGCTAAAGTGAGCAAAACTAAGGCGAAGGAACATGGCATGATGACTTAAGAACCAAGAACCCAGAATCAAGAACGAAGAACTAGAATTGTATTGAGTCGGTCTTAATGTGATCAAGACCGGCACAAAATTCCAAATCTTGGCTCTCTAGGCTTAATTCATAAAAATCTCTTTTACATATTCAAAAATACTTTTCTTAATGTTTAAACTTGGGTCAAAACACTTGGAGTTCGCCCAAGCCAAAAACCAAGCAATTCGGCGTTCGGCTTTCAGAAACCGGCGTTCGGCTCTCGGTTTTCGGCATCGGTTTTTGGCGTCCGAACCAACCAAGTGGTTTTTAACTTTTTATAACTGGTTTTTACTTCTGGGCATATTTAAATAGTTCTCCAACAAAAACGCCTCAAAAACCACCTTCCGTTTTTGATCGTTTAGTGAAAACCATGCGAAACGGCACGAACTTGGCTAGCCGTGGTTTTCAACTAAATGACGTGGTTTTTAAGATGTTTTACTTGATTTCTTAGCAAATTGCAATAAACAAATGTTTTCTAAACTTGGTTTTTATTTTGGAGAACTTGCGTTTTTGACATCGGCTA